ATAATGAATAGTTTCGACACACAAAAATCCTAAAATTGTAAAATCTCTATTTTGAACACACTATATCTCTGTAATCATTGTAAAATCAGCTCTTCAGGCAGAATAAACAAAATGCAATAAAATAGAGGGTGTTCCATTTGAACTAACAAAGTTGCTAGTTGTTTTTGATAGAAGTGGCAGCACTGTATCGATGAAAATATTTTAGACGGATATAGAGAATGTTCAATTATCAAAGCATCCCTATTTTCAGAATGTTCTGTGTTTTTGTTCTCCAGATACTTCTAATAGGCAATCCACCCGTGGATCACCCTGTATAATACCATCGTGAAAATTGAAAATTGCCGCGATCAAATCAATATTTTGATAATGCCTAATATCAATCTCAGGAATGTAGTTCTCATAGATTACTACATGTTGAGCGAGAAAAATGTTGAAATCGGTCAGCAGATAGGAAAATTATGGTGCTGCTCATAGTGGAACTGAAATATATTTTTTCTACTCACATAACTAAAATGGCATTTAGCGTACGGATATGTACCACGCTAAATGTTCGATTAATCACGGATTGACGATCAGTGATTTATTCAAAATATTAAACACGTTACCATGGCAACACGATTTCTTGAACACATTACCATGGCAACGCAGTTCATTAAACACAGCTTCAGTAATTTGAGACATGTCTGGCCTGTCAATTGTATTAACTGTCAACTGTTATTTTCAAATTTTGTATCAGAATAATTCAAACAATATTCATTTTTATTAGAATTCTTCAATAAAAATATTTGCGAAATGTGAAATCGAAGAGAATGTTCTAGTACTTGCATATCTTCAAGAAGTGTAAAAATGAAGCATCCATCTTTGAGAACAATTCATTCATTCTGCGCTAAGCATGACAATAAACGTGAAACAAAGGTTAGTAAGCAATGGACTAGACACATCTACAACCAATATACATGTCTCGCTGGTTGCATGCAGTTGCATGTATTATGTTCTCCATTCCCATTCCTTTTGAATTATTTTGTAGGTTATAGAAGGAATATCAGGTATGTTGATGTAATTTTCGGAGTTCGTAGAAAAAGCATAGTATGTAACGCGTTTATAAACTCTTCTAGACACTCGTTTATTAAACACTCGCTACGCTCTGCTCCGCTCGTGCTTAAAATACTCGTTACTGAAAGGCCGTTTAGAACACTTGTTACATGAGGGTGATTCACATAAGAACCGACATAGAGCAGGAGCATGTAGGAGGTCCCAAAATATGGAAATTTAACGCAACTTACCTCTATACCAAGTTGCTTCCCTAAGGAGTTATAGGCTTTGAAAGTGAAGTTATAAATTTTGAAAAAAATCAATATCTCCGTTATTCTTGAACTTAAAGCAACCAAATTTGGTACACTTTGTGGATGTATTTCGGGCGTTACTTGACAGTAACAAGAGTTCAATTGGAATTTGTGAAGGGGGTATACCAGGTGGCGCACCATTAATATTCAACAGAATTTTGTTAAACCCTGTTGGATTTCAAAAATCTCTACTCTCTTGTGTGGGCAATTCAATTCTAAAACTTCTCTTACTCAAGTAATTTTTCGAAAAACCTCATCATTTTCATCAAAAACTCGAATAACTGAAAATGCGCGCTCTAGGTGTGTTATTTAAAATCATCGAAAATTCAAGAGTTGGCTATGAAAATAAACGTACAACAAGAAAGTAGGTCATTAATTGTGATCAGCAGAAATTGGCTGGCAAATTGTTATTTAGATACGTAACAAAATACGTAAAGTAAGTACAGATACTGAAATGTGAAAAACTGGGATTAACAACTAACCAAAATAAACACAAAAAACTTAAACAACGACCAGAACAAACAATTGTTCACCGATAAATCACTTAATTATTGAACAACTTACTTGCTTCATTTTCAAGTTTGACGTTTATTTCCATATCCAACTTTTGAATTTTCGATGATTTTCAATAACACACCTAGAGCACGCATTTTCTGTTATTCGAGTTTTTGATGAAAATGATGAGGTTTTTCGAGAAATCACTGGACTAAGTGAAGTTTTACAATTGAATTGCCCACAAAACAAAGCAAAGATTTTTGAAGTTCATCAAGGGTTAACAACATTTTGTTGAATAATAATGGTACGCCACCCGGTATACCCCCTTTACAAATTTCAATTAAACTCTAGTTACTGTCAAGTAACGCCCTAAATACATCTACAAAGTGTACCAAACTTGGTTGCTTCAAGTTCAAGAATAACGGAGATATTGATTTTTTTCAAAATGTATAACTTCACTTTCAAAGCCTATATCTCCTTAGGGAAGCAACTTGGTGTAGAGGTAAGTTGCATTGAATTGCCATATTTTGGGCCCTCCTACATGCCCTTGCTCTATGTCGGTTCTTATGTGAATCACCCTGTATACTATTGAGGAATCCTTTCAATGCGAGAATCATCTTTCAGAATCAATACGACAAACTAAAGTTTTCCCTATCCTCAGAATCCCAGAACCTCGAATATTGTCATTTGAACGAACATGTATAGTATAAAGCTGTGCGTTGGGAAAGGCTGTAATATTATGAGGTATGATGAGACGAGCTCATTCGGCCTCGGATATGGATATAATGCAATGTCAGAGACAGGATAGGTTGTTTTCCAGAAGCCTCCGGGGCAACATTCAGGACCGTAATGAGAGAGCGTCCCGCCTGGAGCAATGTCGGCCCCATATGTCGGCAGTGGCGTACGCATCGAAGAAAATAGGATTGTTGCTTCACTGTATAATTACACGAGAGCTTTTTTTTTTCGAAGTAAACTTGACATCTCGATTAGATTTTGTTGCCTGGAAATCCGACGAAAAGAATTGCCACTGTGCTTCGAGTATGTAGTCCGTATAGCTTCTTGATTTTTTGCTATAGAGACAACAAGACTAGAATCACACATGTCAAGTTCATTTCGATCCAAAAAAATGCTTGAGTGTAATTGGGTAATGGGTAAAACTATATAATATTGTTAATTGTTTTTCTAATCAGTTTTTCGAGAGAAATCACTGATTGGAAAAAAAATCATAACAGCATGCCTATTTTCGCCATGCATATGCAATTTGAGAGGGCCTTGCTACAGAATATAAATTCATTTCATAAATATCGCTTGTTATCTTGAACCGAGACAATTTTCAAAAGATATTGTTTGACCAGTAAACTAGTATAAACATGGGCTCGTGATGAGAATTCAATAAATGGTTATGTCGAAGGCAAGAGTTCAGTTATAAATTCACGTCAAATGTTGAGAGACATAATTGAACATCACTTAAATGACCTAACAGCTGATCCTCAACTGTTCAGAAGAATAATACATTCTTAAAAAAAGAATATAGAATCACGTATTCCTCGAAACGTAGGACATTTTGAACACTTACTTTAACTGATTCAATATTTCATGTTTCTAGTCAAATATCTCTTAAATTTCTACTCATGATTCTTTGTTTCATCAATAACTTCAGCACAAGAATAATTTTGTTGTTTTTGAACCTCAATGAATAGGTAATTGAACTCAATAAAACTCATTTTATACCAGCATCATTACTACTCTATTAATTTCAAATCGAAATATTCCGAAAACGGAACACAGTATCGAGTTTCACCAGGAGTACCTTTCTGGTGTAAAATTGAATGCTGTTCAAGTTCATATCATATTTGGAATGAAAAATCTAACCTCAAAAAAGTTATGTTCAAAACTACTCGGTACGAACCTTGTAACTAGCGCCCTCTATGAGAGTCAGATATAAAAACAAATTCATGCTATGTGTCAGATTTCAAGAAACATCCATACAAAATGTCATCACAATGTTGCCAGTAGTTTCGGAATAATCGTGAAAAATGTGTAGAAAAATAATTTTTTCAACACCTTGTATCATGAAAACGGATGCCGTTACATTTTTTCACTGAGCAAACCCAACTTATTTTGCAATGTTCTACCTGCCCTAGCAAGGGGTTTATGTTTTGAAACACCCTGTATAATACAGTATTTCGTATCGAGAATGCGAAAGAAAATACGTTATTCATTATATATAGAAATGGCGATAAACGCAATATCGTTGGGAGGAACTGAAAGAAATGAAGTAAGGAGAATAATTTGAAATCATCTCCATAACTTTGTTGTTTGCCTTTGTAGATTTTTTCCACTTCTACAATTCGGCTGATGATGGACTTGGATTTGTCCGAAACATGTAACTCTTCTTCAGTGAATTCTAATCAAAGTTGTGGAAACGAATCAAAATTGTGGAAACGATTCTTCCTAGTTGTCAATGGGTTTCATCTACAGGGTCATTCTTAAGGTACATGGACTTCAAAGAATTATGATTCGAGCCAACATTCATCAACAAAATATTAATAATAAGAGATATATAGGGTGTCCAAGATTACATTTTATACTCATTTTAAAACTTCATTTTTTACAATAAATTCGACGTTTCCGAAACTAATGTTTTTTGTTTTTGGAGATATTCCAAATACAGGGTGTTATTTGAGTATGTGGCCAAACTTCAAGGGTTGAGTATTTGGGTGATTCTATGACGAAAAGTTCATATAACCATAGGTCCAGAAATGCTTCGTTTTCAAGATACAAGGACTCAACAGTTTCAATAAGAAATCGTTCTTTTATTGAATACTCAAAATTCTGTTTGCCTATAATGGAACTTGGTGATTTTGTTAACAGTATCCTGAAAATTCTTTTGGTGTAATTAGATTCGAAATAATGATTCCAGTGCCTGCGGCTCATACTGCAAGGTGGGCACAAAAAATTCAAAAAAATACAAAAAAATACGTACTGTAGATACGCATAGCTCAGAACGACTGCAACAAATGTATTATTTTTTTTTAAATGGGTACACCAACCGTGCGAAGCGAGACCGGAATATATTATTATTGAAATTTTTCCCATATGATGTCGACTTTATGAATGCCACTGTATACAATCGAAATGAAGTTAATTATTTTGTTGCAGCATGCGAATGCAACCAACACGCCCGTCGATGCAGATTCAACATGGAGCTGTACAAATTGTCTGGGCGAGTATCTGGAGGCGTTTGCCTCAAATGTCGACATTACACCGCCGGTAGACACTGCCACTATTGCCGCGAAGGGTTCTACAGGGACCCCACCAAGCAAATCACACATCGAAAGGCCTGCAAACGTAAGTTACAAATTTTTCTTATACTTCTGCTATATCAGTAAGTCAAAGTCGTCCTCTGCTATAGCAGTGAACACTGTCGTTGCCACCGATAAAACAAGGCCTGCATGCTCCGTGGGTGACGTCACTTAGTCAGGCCTAACCAGCGGCAGAGATAAGTTACCCACAGAACTGGGTAACTTATCTCTGCCAGCGGCTCGAAACGACAAGCGCTTATAGCGCTATAAGGCGACCGCGTATTTCGATTTTAGTTTTAGATCATTATTGAGCCGATTTTGCTTTTTTTTTGAAGGGCTTCCGGTTGAAAGAGGATGCCAGCCGTCAACTGAGCCCTTCTTCGCATCCCATTCGATTTTATTATGGAAAAACGAAGTTTCAAAGCAAAAACCAGAATAAAACACAAATACCCACCTACAGCAACCCATTCGAATTAAATATATTGGCAAAAATTGTAGTGATTCAATCTCATTAGAGGTAAACTTCACACGTACTTATACAGGGCCCGCAGAACATAAACTTATCATGAGATTGATCGAAAGAAAATTGGGGAAAATGTATTTTAGTTTGATAGACATGCCGTTTGTTATACCTAATTACCTATATTTATCTTGGAGAATTCCTATTACCTAAAAAATTAGCCAGTGAGTGTTTTCAATTTCCTGTTGTTGGATTTTTTACCCAATTGGTCGTTAGACTTATTGAAACAGTAATTTTTAAGTAGAGTGTTTGTAGTACATGTTAATATAATAGTTGCAATTTGATCATTGGAATGAATTCTGCATTCATTGCTACGAGGCAAATGACCCTTTTTAGAAAGAAATTTGAGAATGTATTGAGTCAGAAACGAAAGAGTCCAATGCATTCGAAATATGTTTCAAAACCCTCTTTTTCTGATTATCAAGACATTTTCCCGAATTATGTATCTCGTTTTTATCTATTTCAATTAGTAATTCCTTGATTTGATTGATATTATTAGAGATAAAAGGTGTTTTCAGATTGGCTTTTAGAGATGTTTGTATCGCTAGGTCATACAAAAATGATTCCACATTCAAAACAAAATCAATCACAACCGAATATGTAATTACGGGCCCTGGAGAATAAGACAATTTGAATAATGTGACTTTTTGCAAATCGATAATTTTGAACCACTTTTCGGGCAACTGAAAAGACTCTAATACAACTAGAAATTCTTGAAATTCAGTGTAGCAAAATGATTTTTGGTAATTTTCGAATTCAGTTTTACTTTTGGTAAGTGCTTGTGCCAAATTTTTAGTCTCTAGTATCTCAAGTGCGTAATTTTACATCTTTCGATAAATAAGATGGACAGTTGGGAAATTGAGTGGGAATAACATCTCGTTTGAGCCTAGGAATTTTCAAATCTATTGTTACAGTTTTGCCAGTTTTTGAATCGGTTGCAGTAGATGAAGTAATAATATCATCTTTAGTAAAATGTAATTCACATACTTTACTGTACTTAGATGGAGTCGTAAAATCCTTGCGGTGAATTGCATGTACCCACTTTTTCGATAGTTCCTTGTCCAACGGGAAACTAAAAGCATGAACTTTTGGACCACCCACATAATTCCCCCGACAAAAGGGAACACAACACTTGTAAGGCATTGTTATTTCGCCTATCACAACACGAAATATTTCACAAAACAGTAATTTCTCCGCCAATTATTTTGATGAATAAACAACAAGAGAATTCGAGCACACGCGATTTACCTACGCCACCGTTCTTAAACAAAAACAAACTAACGATCGATCGACGCGAATGCCTTGGAAGATGGCCTGAGTATGCGACGTCACGAGCTGTTTACGTCAGAGTCTGCTGGCCTTGTTTTATCGGTGGTAACGACACTGTCCCAATGAGCGACACTGCTCTCGTAGATTATTGCTTAAGTAGTCTTGTCCTTTAATAACTGTTAAAGCAGTAGCACCCCAAAATCACTGTATTTACTGTCGTTGGACTTCGTTCAAGTCTTGCCACTATTGCCGTGAAGGGTTCTACAGGGACCCCACCAAGCAAATCACACATCGAAAGGCCTGCAAACGTAAGTTACAAATTTGTCTTATACTTCTGCTATATCAGTAAGTCATAGTCGTCCTCTGCTATAGCAGTGAACACTGTCCCAATGAGCGACACTGCTCTGGTAGATTACTGCTAAAGTAGTCTTGTGCCTTAAACTGTTAAAGCAGTAGTGCACCAAAATCACTGTATTTTCTGTCATTGGACTTCGTTCAGGTCTTGCCACTATTGCCGTGAAGGGTTCTACAGGGATCCTACCAAGCAAATCGCACATCGAAAGGTCTGCAAACGTATGAGTTAAAAATGTTTCTTATACTTCTGCTATAAGAGATCAAGCCAAAGTCGTCCTCTGGTATAGAAGTGAACACTATCCCAATGAGCGACACTGCTTTGGTCGATTACTGATAATACAGTAGTCTTGTCTCGTCATAACTGGTATACAGAGTGGGCTTTTGAAAACGAAACAGAGGCTCTGTAGGTCGCCAAAAAAATACAGGGTGGTTCAAGATTCAGAATTCTGATCACCCTGTATCTGTTCCAGTTAAATGTCAGTAGATAGTAAATCACAAGTTGAGATAGGGACATGAGAGCCGTTTCGACCAATAATGAATAGTTTCGACACAAAAAAATGTCAAAGTTGAAAAATCTCGATTTTGAACACTTTATATCCCTGAAACCATTACAGCTAGACCCCAAGTGTGATGCATTGATGAAATCAGCTCTTCGGGGAGAAAATAAAAATGCAATGAAATACAAGGTGTTCCATTTGAAATAACAAAGTTGTTGCTTCTTTTCGTTAGCAGCGGCAAGGCCGCAGGGCTGAAAATATTGTAGGACGATGTCCCCCTCGAAAACGTAGTTGACGTGTTTCAGATTCTTTTCATAATCCGGTTTTGGCGACCCTCTGTTTCGTTTTCAAAGGCCCACTCTGTATAGCAGTAGTGCACCAGAATCACTGTATTTTCTGTCGTTAGACTTTGTTGAAGTCTTGTCACTGTTGTCGCGAAAGGTACTCCACCAAACAGATCACACATCGAAAGGCCTGCAAACTTCTGCTATAGGAGTAAGTGAAAGTCTTCCTCTGCTATAGCAGTGAACACTGTCTCAATGACCGACACTGCTCTGGTAGATAACTGGTAATACAGTAATCTTGTCTCTTCATAACTGCTATAGCAGTAGTGCATAGAAATCACTGTATTTACTTTCGTTTGGCTTCTAGTTTGGATTACACTAAAACCACTGTATTCTTTCATTTGGCTTTCTTCTTTACTCAGTTGGGCTGTCATCAAAATCCCCTGAGCTGTTTACTGAATTATTATTATAAATAGATGTATATCGCAGTGAACATTGTCCCACTGACTTAATACGAGTGGTACTGCTCTGGTTGATTACTGCTAATGCAATAGAGGCTTGTCTCCTTATAACTGCTATAGCAGTAGTGCATAAAATATACTATATTTACTGTCGTTTGACTTCTAGTTTACTCAGTTCGTTTGTCATCAGAATAGGCTAAGCAGTTCACTAATTTACTGTTTCTCAATATTTTTCTACAACAGTAAACACTGTCCCACTCGATCAGTGTGAAACCAGCCATGAGTTCCAGCCACGACTTCGCCTAATATTCAAGGCGCGCGCCATACCACCAATGGTCGTTCATTATTAATTTATATTCATGACTGGCCATGAAATTACTTAAACCTCCAGAATATGTCCATGGATGAAACTATTTTACATCAATGAATTCTGCTGAGGGTCTTTAATAATCTGTATATCTCACAATAATTTGTCGGACAAGAAGTAACTTCGTAGCCCCCTCTTTCATAATTTCGAAAAAAAATCATAACTTTTTCAAAATACACGTGGATGGGAGTTTTTTTCTATGAATGTGTTTCTCTGATGGTACTCGATAATATGTATATCTCACAATATTTTGTCGGGCAAGAATCAACGCCACAGGCCCCCTTTTTTGGAATTTCGAAAAAAAATCATAACTTTTTCAAAATACACGTGGACGGGAGTTTTTTTCTATGAATGTGTTCCTCTGATAGTACTTGATAATATGTATATCTCACAAAATTTTGTCGAGATCGTATATGTCACAAATAATTACAATGATATATAGGTATCATCTTGATCAGTTGTTCATGGAATTGAAATAAATACTTCTTCAATGAACAACCACACAAAATCACAGATTTATTCGAAGTACCTATTCAATCAAATGGATATTTTTCCTCTCCCTGTCATAATATTCCATTTCAGCTTGAAAGAATCCGTTTTCGTCATCGATAAACTCTTCCACCCTTTCTTCATTTTGCGGAACCTTGTATATATTTTGTCTGTGATCGGACTGATATATTGTTATTGTTAGGCCCAATTTGAACAAACCTTTGAAGATTATTACTGGATTATTAGAATCTTTCGAAGTCCAAACTTCTACTAACCTTGGTCCACTCTCAACAGTAAACACTGTCAAATTTGGCATTTTACATTTCGTGACAAACAAGGGAGGTCTATAACTTAAGTACTGAGGAGTCCTCAAGGAATCCTCAGATAAGGAAGACTTGAGGAGTTCTTGAGGAAACGACTATAAATACGGGCCTTAGATGCTTCTATTCAGCTGTTATTGAATTCGTTCGTCATCAACGGGATTCTTCGAGTTCCGAAAGAAGGAAAACACATCCTTGAAAGTCTACTTCAACTTCATGATAAGATTCGAAACACATTTTGAAATTCTTCATCTATCACGCCATCTATTATCGGATATGAGAACCCTACGTTCCGAACTCGCATTCTATTGTTTATATCGAGAGTTAGTCTGACGAAACAATTGAAGAGTGGGTACACCAGAGGAATAATTATAAACATCTCACTCTTATTAGATTACCACCAATACAGCAATATTATTGCCGCTTATAACTGGTTTTTGCAGTAGTGCTTGAAAATCACTGTATTCACTGTCATTTGGCTTCTA